CAACATCTAAATCAATGGTTTACAAGTTACCTGATCTTTTTTGGAGGTAGGTCGGAGCTTCTCCTCTGGTAACTTTTCCTTTTTAGCTTCCACTTTAACCTCTTTTTCTTCCCCCTTTGTTTTTGGGTTTTTAATAATTTTTTTAAACATGAAAACATTGCATCTGTTTGCACTTTTGTTTCTTCACACTGTGTTCATGTACCAATCCTGTGTGCAGCCACATCTCCATCATATGCTGCTGTGCCCACATCTCCGTGTGCCGTTGTGCTTCCTCCACCCTCTCTAAATGCTCCCATTCCCCTACCTGGGCCTTTCTCCCTTGCGTGGCATCATGCTCACATGTCCCAGCAGAGAAGCCCTCTCTTGTGATTGCATTTAACACACACGTTCCTCACACAGTTTACCAGGTGCTCATATATTTTGTGCCAAGACGTGTCTGCCTCCACCTCATGTGTTACTGCATTAGGCCAGTTTATAGCAGCTGAGAAAAAAAGGCAGCATAACAACATGCGGAGGGCTGAACATGCAAGGTTTTCTTTGAACGATGGAGTGAGGTCAGGCATGTTGTGCACTGCATTATTGGTAAGCAGAAGTAAGGAGCTTTATTTTAAAAAAGAGAGAGCAAGGGACAGAGCACAAGTATTAGTCATTTCAATGCAGGAATAGATCTGTGAGGAAATTCCAATTCAATCTTTTTTTTTTTCTTGCATTACATTTCTCACAAACCACAGGTGTCTTATTTTGGTGCAAAATGTTTACTGTACCTGTTTTCTTAGGAAAGCTGCTTGAGGTTTTTCCTCTTGTACTTTCTTCTCTTTTACCTGTTTATCTTCTATTTTCTTTTCTTCCATCTTTTGTTTTTCCTTTAATTTCTCTGCTTCTAGCTTAGCCTTTTCTTCAGCTGCCCTCTTTTCCTCTTCTGCCTTAGCCCTCGCTCTTTCCTCAGCTGCTGCCTTCTCCTCTTCTGCCTTAGCCCTCGCTCTTTCCTCAGCTGCCCTCTTCTCCTCTTCTGCCTTAGCCCTCTCTCGTTCCTCAGCTGCCCTCTTCTCCTCTTCTGCCTCAGCCCTCTCTCTTTCCTCAGCTGCCCTCTTTTCCTCCTCTGCTTTCTGTTTTTCCTCAGCTGCCTTTTCTTCCTCCGCTTTTAACCTCTCCCTTTCTTCTGCCTCAAGTTTCTCCCTTTCTTCTGCTTTCTTCCTTTCTTCTTCAGCCTTTTCCTCATCCCTAAGCTTCTCTTTATCTACAACATCAGTTATACTCTGCTCCCCTTCTGGCATGGCATTTGTATCATTCTCTGCTTTGTGTTCCTCTGCATTTATAGCTAGATTTTTTGTTTCTACTACCTCTTCTTTATCTGTGGATTTTTCTGCTGTCAAATCTACCTGATTTTCCTCTAAGAGGACCTCCTTTGGTTTCTCCTCCTGTACCTCCTCCTTGTCTTTTTCTTCTTTTTTTTCCTCTTCTTCCCCATCTTGCCTCCAGTTGTTCCTTTGGTATGATTTGGTAAGCATTTCCGTTTCCTCAATCTCATAACATCCTTGGCGTGTTTCAGCCTTTTCCTCTTTCCCCATGGTCTCGTTTTCTTCCAGATTGTTTACTTCTCTCCTGCTGGGCAGTGACAAGCTCCCATCTGTGATCGTGGGGTCAAATTCCTTTTGACGTTCCAGGGCTTCCTGTAGACGTTTTTGGCGTCTCTCCTCCCGTCTTGCCAGTCTCTCCAACAATGCAGCTTCGTCATCTGTTCCCCCTGTGGTTGTAGTACGCTTGGTTTCCTCTTCTGCCACACTACATAAAAGTGACAATTTTGCATTAAAAAAAAAAAAAATCTTTTCTAACAATATATGTGCTTAGCTTTTTGTAGAAAAAAAGCTTGCTGTAACATCATTCCATGGTTTGAAAACACAACAGGTGCATACTTCAAAATTTAGCAAAATGGTTCCAGGGATTAATTCTGGTATTTCTACATGTATAGGAATGCAGTGTTTCACAATGTCAGAGCCTGGAAAGGTTCCCTTCTAGGCGAGCTCCAACAGCCGCTGAAGTCGCCGGGAGTCTTACTGACCTCAGTAGGCACTGGAACAGCCCCTGACGCTTGGAGCAGCTGAAACATGAACAGCCCTGAAAAATTCATCTTCCCCCTCTGCACCCTGCAGCAGAATACTTGGAAGACCTTAGCTTGCTTTAAGGCCCCCTTCAGCTTGGCCTGAGGCGTACATGTCTTATGCACAGTCTTCCCACCAGGCAAAATTTTTGAAGATGCTACACAAGCAAGATACTTTCTGACTTCAGTGAACTTCTCTAGCAACAAGAAGCTACTCCTGTTCAGCAGCAACATCCACAGATACAGTCCATAATGGGAAAGCCTGGCAATTAAGGGTGCAGCGAGGTTGTGATTGTTTGTACAGGGAAAATAATCTGTTAGAAAATGAAGTGAGCGGAGCACCTAATTTAAGACATGCTATTCAACACCTGTAGGTATCAGGACTGGATCTTGTTCTCAGTCCCTGGAGGTTTTTTGACTCCTTCAAAATTCAGCTGTTTATTTCTCCTGTGTGCAGGTCTCTTCCCTCTTTCTAGCTTTTTTCCCCCTCTATTGTGGAAAAAGATTATAATCTACAATCAGAAACGTTGCTGTTTTCCTATCTATATCCATTCTCCTTGTGTTTTATAGAATGCTGCTTATGCTCAGTATCTATTAGCTTGATATCACAATGTTTATTTCTGGTCTCTTCTATCAATTGTGTTATGGCTACTGGAAATCTGGATATATTATTTGTGACTATGTGAAACTGAATAAATGATGGACAGACTGGAAGGCCAGCTCTGCCCACTCAGCTTGTGACCAGTGGCGCCTTACTCCGTAAGCTTTTCTGCTGTTTATAGCTGTGCAACCCTGACAATGCCAGATGAGGACTGAGGTCTAGCACTCACACGCAGCGCCTTGCAGGCATGTTTCAGCTACAACTTAAGGCCTGGGTGCCCACCAATCCCACGTGCCTTGGCCCCATGACACCATGACACCAAGCAGGACAAAAGATGTGGGGGTTTGTGAGGCACAGAGGCAGTCATGCCTGAGGGAATCTGACAGCAGGATGCATCAGAGGTATTTCCTTCCATGAGCCGCAGCTGAGTAACTCCATAGACAGCCCTGAGGACACCCTGGGAATGGGTTATGAGCATGGCCTCAAGCCCAGCTTCAGTGATGCTCCCACCCCACTGTGTCAACACAGCCAGTGGCACTCCTCACAGTGTTAGGTCCCCTTCAGTGCAAGGATGGCCAAACCTGGTGCTTAATATTTAAGTAGCAAAACAGAGCTCTTCAAGATACTTCTCTATTCTGAACAAAAATTACCGTTGACTTGTCAGTAAACACCATCAGACATTTACCTGTTTTGGGCATTAACTTCTGATTTCTCTGTTACTTCTCCCGATAGATCTCCTTCTTCTTTTTGCCGCAGCCTCTCCTGACGAGCCCGTCGGCGACGTTCTCTGGCAGCTTCTTCCTCATCATCATCGTTTCTCTGGTAGGACAGCCTGCAACAGAGCATTAGGGATATGGAAAAAAAAGGGCTGTAGCATATAGGACACTGTGACTGAAAAATTATAAAAAGCAGCTGATCAGAGCACAGCAAGCATGGCTGCCATGGTTGCTCCATATGCTGTTTAGAAAATAAACTGTCAAGTTGAGATCCATAGTTTCAAAGCCTGGTTTTGTTTTCTTTTTCAGAAATGAACTTGACAAAATAGTCGTAAGTGAAGGTAGCAGCCACACCACACTGTCACTTTGCTCCTAGAAAATACCAAGACCATAAAAGCCCAGCCCCGTAGCTGAGCAAAATCCTGCACCATGATCCTGCCAGAATGCACACAACAGCATTTGAGCAGACTATCACTCAAGCCCGTGTAACTGAAACTGGACTTAGCCAAGCAGCTTTCCATTAGCCTCCTCTAAATATAACATGCTTAAAATGGTGACAGTATTCTAAAACTGGAAGACGAGAAAGCGGGGAGACACAAGTATGACAATGGCTCTCAGTGCTCTGTTCCGAGTGCCAAACATCTGACACCTACAAAATTTTTGTGAGCCCGGAGCCCTGCCAGGCCAAATCATACAAGATCGCCGCTGTGATGAAAGCCTACCGCTGAGAACGCATTGTGTTCATCTAACCCAACAGATGATTACATTTAGTTTCATCCTAATTGAAAAGGAAAGCAAGACATTACAATCCTAATAATCCTGCAGCCCATTCAAATCTTTGCTGAGGTGCATTATTACTGTGTGAGATAAAGGGAAAGGCCTGCATTCCTCTTATCTTTTTGTGCAGGGAAAGTGAAATAGGAAGCTAACGTGCCAGATCCGGTCACAACATTCATTTACTTTGCTTCCAGCAATGGTCTGATATATGATGGTTAAGTAACCCTTCGTTATGTAGTCACCCATTTAAGATAGCTGTACAGCAATCCACATAGAGAAAAAAGAGCTCTGCACAGAGTAAAAACAAGCAGTTAAACTTGTGTTTCAAAGAATATTTTAACATTAAAAGCAACTAAAACATTTTGATTTAGTCATTAATTGAACTCTTTGGGTCCCAGCCTCTCCCATTGTCTTGTTCCGGTACTGCTTTTCTCCTTTTCTGAAAGAAGGGTGAAAGTATAAGTTCAGCAGAGATCGAATTATCCTAATTTTCCTTTAAAAATTAAAAATGGAAGTTAAAAACCCAACATGGCTGAGCCACTTGCCAGACCTGGAACAGTATTTTCATCCCATGCAACTTTTCTTGGCCTCAGTGCATGAAGGATTCGATTTGCTAATTTCATACTCCACTTCAAGAGCTTGCATCCTTTTCTTTGTAGAAACAGCTCCTCTCAAAGAGGGTGAAAACCATGAGCAGCATGGCCATGAAGAATCACAGTAGGGGGAAGAGGAAGAAAGGAAGGAGAGGAATTAAAAGCACTAGAGGTGATGTAGGGAAGGCGAGGAAAAACAATTCCTGTCATTTGTAAGCAATTTAAAGGGGGATCAACATTTCGTTTAGGTCTAGACCAGAAAGCATATAAATACAATAATAAACCAATGGGGTCTTTAATTTGCAGAAGAAAGAGACTCTCTCTGGAATAAAACTGCATTAGCAAACTGACCACAGAAAGCCCACTTGTTAGTAAGATGTTCTGGCTGCAAGAAGCCTATGATCTTTTTAGCTCTGAACTCCAAATGTAAGGGCACAGTAGAGGACATGCTGCTCTTAGCCTGTGGCAGCTGGATAACGGCCATGACTGAGTCGATTCCCAGTGCCTATGGCTCAGGATTTGTCTTTGCAGTGAGACCACAGGAGGATGAAGTAGTTTATCCTACTCTCTGTACCCACACAGAACACTCCTACACAGCAAGGAGAACAACAGGTTTTAAAAGCCTCTTTAAAATGCCTTTTTAAAACCACCAGTTGCTCAGAAAACTTAAAAAAAAAAAGAAAGAAAAAAATACCTTAAGCAAAAAACTCCCACCAAGTGGTACCCATTAAATAAGTCAAATGAAAACAGATATTTATTTCCTGTCCTTGGACACTTATCACATAGATCATCTGTTAAGAAAGCTGACAATCTCTCTCAATATCCTTTTAAGTATATCCACCATCTCACTCCATATCACAGCGGTTTCCTACAGCGAGCAAGTTCACCAGGTAGGGGCTCCACCCATAAGGACGACCTTAAGTATTCAATTCTGTTCACCAGCACAGATGCGTGAAACATCCCCAGTAATCTGGAAATAGTCATATCAACAACTAATAGCAGTATTTTATAGATCTGTATTGTATTTTCTTTACAGTTATGTTAACACTACTTCCCAGATTGTACTACAGGCTGTTTTGCTTGCCTCGGAAATACAAGGTTGGCTGGAGTGGACCTCAGTAGCCACCACAGACTGACAGTAGAGTAGGCTGAAAATGCAGGTTCAGGTTGGCTGTTAATTAATGGGCTAATGACCATGCTGTGAGCAAACTGACAGCAGGATCATTTATGAAATGGTCTGACATAGTCACCCTAACTGCCATTGACTTTCCATGAGAAATTCAGTCACAGGAAAGATGGTGCAAGTTAGACAAATGCCATTTCTGCCCATGCAAAATACGCTTTTCTGACTACAGCGGTCATCTCACCATTCCCTCAATCTTCACGCACTGAGTTCGTTCACCGTAACTCAGCTAGCACATCGTTCTCTTTTCCTTAGTTATCTAAGTAGCCTCCTCCTCCTCTGATGCCTAGGGTGTCAAACAAATTTCACATAGAAAGTAAACCACAGGCAGACACATGAATTCATGCACCCTCCACTGGGTGTGGTGCTCTCTCTCCCACTGTTACAGCTCTCCGTAACTACCCATCAAAAGTAAAATCAATCTGGGAGGCTCTTCAGAGCTTATCTTCCACTTGCCTACATCTTTCGAAATTCTTTAGACCAAGAGTAAACAAATAATAAAAAGTATGACTCCAAGATTTCAGCTCTGTATATCAGACAGATGGAAATCTTATGATCCACGCTGGCCTGTGTTGTTTCTCCACCCTTGGAGAACAGCCTTGCTGCCCAGCATGCATACATACCCCACAACTAAATTAAACTAACCTTATATCCATTTGTCACCTTCCACGTAACTGTTCAAAGTCTTTGCAGGCAAGTCTCTTTCTACAGTTAGCTGTTCCAGTTATCTCAGGCAATGAGAGCACGGCACAGCGTGATCTCAAAGAGGTATGCCAAGCCTTCTGATACACGACACCTCTTATTAAATATTCAGATGAAAAGATGATGACTTGGAAACCATCCTACACCTTGTTACCAAAGATAACACACTCTTGGTCTAAATGTCAACTAAAAGAAAGAAAAAAAATAGCAGAGTGTTGGCTGCTTCTCCTGTTACCTTCTCTGTGTTTCTGAAATGAGAAAAAGCAGTGTAATCTCTGTGCGTTATTGGTAAGTTGTTCTAGTAAAGCATTAGCGCTGAGTCTATCATACTTCCCACGCAGCACAACTCAAGTACAAGAGACTGAGCATCTCATCTATGTTAGAGGACATTTCCCACCACGCTAGGTAGGGATAACAAGTAACAACAGACGTTCTACCCTGTTGAGTGGGTAGGACAGATTTATATCTCCAGGACTGAAATCCCAAACCTGCTGAAGTCAACAACAAATCTCCTGATTATTTAAGTAAGTCTAAAATGTTGTCCTCAGACTGAATGGGGGGACTCTACAGCCTAGAGCGGAAAATAACTCTGCTGGATTGGGAATATAGGCGATGAGGCCATCTGCCTCAGAACTTCTTCGGAGAGATTCAGCACCCTCGCTATTTTATGTCAAGCACTGGATTGAAATCAAGTTATTACCCAGTAAGAAACTTGGCAATAGCTAGGATGATTATGGGGCTGAAACCATTTCATACAACCCAGCTTCAACTGGTTTCCACTTGAAACCGCAAATCAGTTCAAACATTATCCGAAGCACTTTGATTTTAGCATTTCTTGCCCAGTACTACTATATTATTATTTATCGTTTGAATTATGACAGCACTGAAATTTCGTGATCAAGCTCAGGGGCTTGCTACAGTAGGCATTTTATAAAGATAGGGGAAGGTCTGGTCCCTGTTCTAAACAGTGTGTATTCTGATTGAAGAGAAACTTAATAATTTGTAGCGCTACCTGCCCTCAGTGAGTTGTAAGCTAAACGTGATGAATCTAAATTATTTTTCATTTTTCACAAAGGTAGAAAAAAGACAATGCCTAATTTAAGGTGGATCACACTACTCCATTCTAGAAGAGGCAGGGATAAAGAAGAGCTGTGGGTCTGAGCTTTGGCTCCACTGCAAAGGTATCAGAAATACGTGAAAAATTTCCAAACAGAACAAAAGCCTTTAAGACTAGATTTTTAACTTAAACAGGCGGCCCAGATCTGCCTTTTCTTTCCCCCATGATTCATTCAAATGCCAGCGTGTCTTCCCTTTCTCCTGCCTGCAAAAACACCTTGCATTCATAGCACTGCCCTCCCAACGCGTACCTCAATTAGATGCAATTGTACCTATTCAGCAAGGTCTTTCCCACACAACTTTGTTATCTAGAAGCCTTTACATCTATTACAGATTGATTTTCTCTGTGGTCCACCCCAGGAAATGAGATCATTCATCCTGTATCAAACTGCTGCACCTCCACTTGCAATCTAACCTACTTCTAAGACCTTCACCCTTCATTATCTAACACCACAGCAGTTGAAGTGACATCTGTTGACTTGTATATCTCCAAATTGATGGCAGACAGAGGACGTTAGTAAAACGTCCTTGATGACAAATTTCACTGCCAGACAGTCTATAGAAGCTGCATTCGTTGGCCTTCTGCACTCTTAGAAAGCCTTTCTATTTTCCCAGGCTCTTCCTGAAAGGATGGGTGGGGTGAGGATGGACTCTGTTGTAATACCCACTGGGGAGTGCTCTTTGTGTCACTGTTGATATTCGGTCCCCTTTTATTTATGATTGCATATGTTTTTAATTTTTTTAT